AGTGTAGATAGAATATCTCCTTATTTCATTTCTCTTAAAATGCTTATAGGACATAAAATATGGATGTCAGTCATAATGTTGTATTGGCCCTCATTCTTGGATCTCTTGGTAATGCGTTGATTCATTTATATTGTATTTGGCTTGCCTCTCTCAGCCAGTGATCACTAGTTGGTTTTAGCTTGGAGACTAAAGAGAGAACTTTAACAAGGAATTTTAACTTAACTATTATTTTATTAACCATGTTGATGGGTACATCTTCAAACTAGCCAGTGGGGTTACTCTCTCACCCCCACTGGGGAGGAAGTTCCCAGACATGAAATAAAACATCTACATTCTTTGATGTGTAAAACTTAACTCACTGAAGTCCTTTTCTATATCTAACATTCCCATGCTAGTTTAGCCAATCAAAAACAACTTCCTTTGTTTTCATGAATTTGACCTCAAAGGTCAAAATGTGGAAGTCAAATGAGATATACTATTCTCTAAAAAAATAATAGTCAGTTACTATTATTTAACAATGTTGTATGTCTTATGTATTATTGTATGTAGATTTAAGAAGGTTTATGTATTTTCCTCTAAGAGCTTCCACATTTAAAATAATTTGATGGTGTCAAAAATTTTTGTAAAGTCAATGAAAACAATATAGACAGGCTTTTTGAATTCCAAGGGTTTTTCAATAATTTGTTAAGGCTATGATCTATTTGATTGTTCCTCTTCCAGATTGGCATGTGACCTGTGATTCGGAAAGCGAGGCAAACAGATTGTTTTTTTTTTTTTTTTTTTTTTAATGATTTGCAATGGTGTTGATGAATAATTTATATGTGACTCAGTAAACTGATAGGTTTTTAGTTCTTACATTCCAGGTGACTATCTTAAATAGTACTACTATGAAAAACTTGCAGTACCACACCATGCAACTGGACATTAGATGTATGACATCTAGTAAACGTTTATCTCCAGCTTTGAGATACTCTGAGTTGATATTGTCAAGCACTGCACTTTCACATTTTTAAAATTATTAATAGCATGAGTGATCTCACATTTTAGAATTGGTGGAACCTATTCTTCATGAGTCTTTTATATTATCATAATAGAGATCCTCATAAAACCCTGTTCATTTCTGCAAGATTTCATTCTTGTTGGTCAAGATGTTATTGTTCTTGTTCTTTATTCCTCGACTGATGTTTTTGGATTTAGTCTTCAAACTTTTGAATTGCATCATAATATATGATATCACAGTCTTGCAATTTGCTCAGATGATGAGCAGCAATTTGCAACTGTCCTGGTTATGACAACAGACTACATCCGGTAGCATGAACTCTGATTGGAAGGTTTTGAGGAGTGTGGAACCACCTCTTTAATTGCTGATGTTCCCAGGTTCACCCTAACCTGGGGTGGTAGCACCTGTTAGGGTCTCAACTGTATGACCCCCCCCCAAAAAAAACTGGGGTCAAAACACTATGAAAGTATAAAAATACTAGCTATAAATTTTTGTAAATGAAATTACTTATTATCCCAAGAAAATTAAATTTTCAGTATTAAATGACCGATAAGGAATTGATATGCCATTAAACAAACAACCAACTTACTCTTTGGAGCCTGTCTAATTAGGCTACAAAACTGATGTCATTTAGGGTCCCAGCTATGGGCAAATAGTTAATGCCCAAACTGGGGTCAAAACACTATGAAAGAACAAAAGATTTTATAGTAAAAAAACCAGCAATGCATTTTCATAGTAAAAAAAAAAATTATCAATAATACATTTTTTTGTAAAAGAAATTACTAATGCTTCCAAGAAAATCAAATTTCAGCATCAAATGGCCCATAAGGTGTTGATATGCCACTAAACAAACAAACCTCATTTTCCAAACAGATGTCTTTTATTCTTAATACTTAACTTATATAAAGAGCTAGATAGCCTGACATCAGCAGAATGATTCTTATCAATTCTCTGGTGCCAGCTGTCATTATAAAACAACACAGAGCCAAATTACTCCCACACGTGTGTGACACAAACACTTGCACATCAATACACATACATCCTGTCATTCATTTTAAATTTCAACAATTTTCACAGATGATTACTATTCTGTGCACTTACACATACATATTTATACATAAACACCTAATCTTGTACTTATTTACCTCATATGAATTTTGCACATACATACATACGAGTTGTTAGAATGTTCGCTTTTTGACCATGAGATCTGGGTTCAAATCTCAGATGGCTGATTTGTTTGGAAGGTGATTTCTTGACGTCGGTATGAGAGAGGCAATCATATCATGCAGCACCTTTTGGAAAGTGCCTGAAAACCATACCACAGGTTGAGCCAAGCCTTGTGAATGAGATTGGGTAGATGGAACTCTTTGGGGAGCTGTCAATGGTTGTGCTAGCATAAAGTCACAAGTCATCGTCACTGAGGGTTTTAGCATGCTGGTCTTAGTTCAGACTGTTGATCAGGTTATATAACGCACTCTCAGCTAGAAACTGTAACTAAAGTCCACTCACCATAGTTGCAGTATTAACTAACCATTGGCAGGCTCTGTGAGTGTTGAACAAACACAAATGTACCTGAGCAGGCGTCTAGAACAGGGATTGGCCAGCCATACACACACACTTAGACTTTTATTTATGTACAAGGATCTTCACCATCAAACATCTTAGAATTTAAAATCAATCCTTCCTTCTGTAAAAATATTAAGCAATATCAGTATCTGTCTATATTTCTGAGATGAGGTATTATGTACACTATTTACATTTTTCAGACTAACATCCTCATCTTTGTTGCCATATTTATCACAATGCTTATCCTCAAGGACACAGTGGATAAAGATGTTAGTTAGATCCAGTGACAGGACCCAAAGAGTGTGAGTTCAATACCTGGCTAAGGTAATGGAGAAGGGAATTAACAGGAGATAACTGACAACTTGACATCCATTAGACGTGGCACATGGAACTAGAACAGTCTACCCCAGCGAGTGAAATAAAGGGTTCAGTTTGACATTTTAACCACCTGAAGAAGGATATGGCAACAAAGATGAGTATGATAGTCCGAACAATGTAAATTAAGCAATATAAAATTTATTTAACACATATATGTACTTGTTTCACTTACTCTTTGGCTGTTCAGGGTATGACTATAAACTACCTCTTGATTGCAGTTGTTCCCAGGTCTACCCTAATGCAGGGTGGTAGCACCTGTTAGGGTTTCAACTATAGCCCCCCCCCCCAAACTGGGGTCAAAACACTATGAAAGTATAAAAATACCAGCAATAAATTTTTGTAAATGGAATTACTAATTATCCCAAGAAAATTAAATTTTCAGTATTAAATGACCGATAAGGAGTTGATATGCCATTAAACAAACAACTTACTCTTTGGAGCTTGTCTAATTAGGCTACAAAACTGATGTCATTTAAATTTATTTCTGACTACATTCTTCAATATACAGGGTGTCCATAAAGTTTGTGTGCACTTTAAAAATTTATAACTTTATTTGTATTTGCGATAGAAATAATCTGTAAAAAATGTTATAAATTTCAATGTACCTAGTTTTAAGTATAGCTAAAATAACTAATGTGATTTCAAGCATTACTGTAAATCAGTTGGCAAATGTTTTCCGTGAACTGCAAAATCGTATTACACTTTGTATTGCTAATGATGGAGGACATGTGGAAACTTAAATAAAATTTCGATAAAACCTTAAAAAATATAGATTTACTTCTTTCTAATCCTTTTTACAAATTATTTCTATCGCAAATACAAATAAAGTTATAAATTTTTTAAAGTGCACACGAACTTTATGGACACCCTGTATTTTGTCTGTTCATATCTTTTGCAATTTTCCATCAGCACATTCTACAAGATTTCTTCACTATATGATGAGCCATGGCATCACTGAAAATATAACCCTTGGCAGCACCAAAGATTATTGTGACTTAGATTTATAGAGATACAGTCAAAGCATGTTTAACACCAAATAGAGACTTGTTAGCCAAAAAGTAATTTTGATGTATCAAGTGCCTAAATTAATCTTCACTCTAATATTGGGTTGACTAGAAAGTCCTGACTCACTTAGGAAGCAAAAAGAAAACAACAAATCTTGATCTTTGTCTTGTGGAATTTCCAAGGAGTACAGCATTTTGAGCTTGTTCAACTTGTTCACACCATCAACACTAAAAAGTATTGCCAGCAGCTAGACAGCACATACAACAGACTAAAGAAGGAGCATCCTGCTTTGGTCAATCAAGGTTAGGCTTTGTTTCAGCAAGACAATGCAAGGTCACACACTGCCAGGTTGACTAAGAGAAGTTCAAACAGATGGACGGCATTGAGATTCTTCCACATCCATCATTCAGTCTTGTTCTAAATGAGTATGGCCTATTCTGCTCACTTCTTCTGCAACCAGCAATTCAACACTTTTGATGAAGTGAAGGAAGCTTGTTTACAGTTTTTTGATTCAAAGCCAGCAGACTGGTATCTGGGACAGATTCGGATGCTGGTTAATTGCTGGGAGAAAATCATTGAGAATGATAGACTTTATTTTGAAGAATAAATGTTGGTGTTGTTCCATTAATTTTTTTTTTTCTTTCTGCTTAAGTGAGTCAGATGTTGAAAATTGAAATTATAAACATTTGTTATTCTCATGAGATTATAAATTTGAATTTTAAATCTTGAATTAAAATCATATTATGATGTATCAGAAATATTTTAATCTTTTGCCAACCTTCACCCTTTTGTGACTGTATTAAGTAGATTTTCTTGTCAAAGCCAAGCAAGCAAATAAGATGGAATCAGTTAAGATTTCTATACTTTTGTTGTTTTATTTGCAACTTCTTTCAGCACTCTAAAGCAGTTATTTCATTTCAAAGATTATTTTTTACTGATTGGCTAAAATAGCTTCCAATTTTAAGTTCACAATTGTCACTAATCCCCATAATCCTGTGAGACACAGTAAGTGTTAATTTTTAATAAATAATTTTTAATATATTTTCAGTGGATTTCAAAAACAAGTTGGAATAAAAACTGTGAAAACAATCCAGGGACAATTGGATGTAAGTAAAATAAAATTTGCCAGTAATTATATTTTTATTTTTTTGGCTTTTGTGAATATAATTTTTTTTTTTTTTTGAGAAGTTATGTGTTTCTGAGAGAATTAGATGTCCTATCAGGATTCATTATTAGAAGCTGCAATCTTATCAATAAAAGGTATACACTTGTCAGAGTGTTGATAAGAGATATAGAAAGGAAGTTACAAGAACTCCTACAGAGGCTAGTGAAGGAAAACAAGAAGAAAGGACTAAGCACCAATCGCAAGAAGATAGAATGCATGTTAGCAAAAGGAAGAGTCCAACATGCAAATTACAAAGTGGCAATACCAAAATCAAACAAGTACAATGATTTAAATATCTGAGAAGTGTTTTAACAGAAGAAGGAAAATGTGACAATGAAATCAAAAGGCATATTAGGATAGCAAAAGATGCCATCAAAAAGCTAAGCCATGTATTAAGAAATGGGGTAAAATTTTGCTAGAAACAAAGAAAGGAGTACTGAACTGGTATGTAATATCAGTAATCCAATATTGTAGGGAATGCTGGACAATTTCCTCACAGATGAAAAAGAGACTTGAAGCAACAGAAATGTGGTTCTACAGAAGGATGATGAGAATACTATGGACTGAACATGTGAATGACAAAGTTCTAGAGGCAATAGAAACAAAAAGGACATTTATACTTAACATCAAGAAGAGAGAGTTGGAGATTCTAGGGCATATAATGAGGAAGGAGGGCTTGGAAAATTTCATACTCACAGGACATATTGAAGGCAAAAGGAAAACCACACATGACCTACCCGGCAAGCTTTAGTGAATGGATGGCAGAGAAGGCTTTGGGAGACATAGCAAAATTTATTGAAAGCTACAAAGGACAGGAAATTTAAATGAAATCCAATGGTACAAAATGAATAAATATTACCAACTCTTTCTACTTTGTTTTTATTCTGTTGCAAGTAGAAAAGAGAAAATGAAATGTAACCTCAGACAACCAAGGTAACATTAAATTGAATTGCTTGTTAAGATAATAAAACATTTATGTGCCATCAAATATTCAACATTTTTGTGCTGCATGATTTATCTGCCCTTACTTTTAAGAATAGCAATCAAGAGTATATCATTTCTTTCAGAAAAAACAAATTCTTTGGTTATATTCAGTATTTTCCTATTTCACCATATTTTTCTACTCGCTAAAATTTTCTCTTCTATCTGTCATATATATATATATATATATATACACAGGGTGTCCATAAAGTTCGTGTGCACTTTAAAAAATTTATAACTTTATTTGAATTTGCAATAGAAATAATCTGTAAAAAAAGCTATAAAGTTTAATGTACCTTGTCAAGTATAGCTAAAATAACTAATGTGATTTCAGGCATCAGTTGGCGAATGTTTTCTGTGAACTGCAAAATCGTATTACCCTTTGTATTGCTAATGATAGAGGACATGTGGAAACTTAAATAAAATTTCAATAAAACCTTAAAAAATATAGATTTACTTCTTTCTAATCCTTTTTACAAATTATTTCTATCACAAATACAAATAAAGTTATAATTTTTTTAAGTGCACACGAACTTTATGGACACCCTGTGTGTGTGTATGTATATATATATATATATATATATATATATATATATATATATAAAACTCTGACTTCTATTAGTCCATCTTTCATATCCTAAAATAGTGACACATTGACTGATTAAAACCAAATTTTGTGGTGAAGTGTAAACAGGTAAATGGTAAAAAGTAAAGTTGGTTTTACTAAGGTGTGTAGCTTAGTACAATAAATTTTCATTAACTGTATTTTTTTTTTAAATTAAAAGTTTTATTATCTAACATAAAATACTCCCACAATTTTAACAACAATTTAATGATTATAACAAATACTTATTCAATAAAAATGTAATATTGTTTTTTTTATAACGTTTTTATATATGCTAGAATTTTTAGCAACACTGACATGTATTGTAATCCTCACAGTATTTAATATTGTTGAAGTTATTGCTATCTTTTTATTGAGATTTACAAACTCTGTATCATTCAATTTCCCAAACCAATCAATGAAATTTGAATAAATTGATTTGTTTGCAGAAATACTTTGACAACAACCCTACTTCACAGTTTAATAATTTCTTTAATTTAACAAGAATTCAGTTTCCAGTTCATCCTGTGTTTGTAAGAATTATAAACAAATCATAAGGCCAAACACTTCAAAAAGTTGAAATTTGGCTCCAGAAAGAAATATTTACATGTGGCCAATTGTATGTTGCATGCTCAAGAGTAAGAAATCCTAATAATTTATTCCTTGCTGTTAAAAAGGAAAAAAAAAGAAATTTTCTTAAAAAATATTGTTTACCATGAAGTCCTATAAAATTAAAGATTGTGTTCAAGCATAATATAAACTGTTGCCACTGGGTGTTGACCTCAATGTCCACTTTTACATTTACATATGCTCTATTGTCATCCTGGGTAAGACGTTAAACTATATCTGCGTCCTGAGTAAGACGATAAACTACATCCAGCAGCAAGGCCTCTGATCAGGAGGTTTTGAGAAGCGTGGAACCACCTCTTAATTGCTGGTGTTCCCAGGTCCACCCTGACCCGGGGTGGTAGCACCTGTTAGGGTCCCAGCTATGGGCAAATAGTTAACTATTACCAGCAATACTTTTTTGAAAAAAATTATTACCATCAATATTACCAGAAACAGATTTTTGATAAAACAAAATATTACCAGCAAAAAAAAATGTCGGCATTAAATAAACCATTGAGGTTAATATGCCATAAAACAAAATAGACCAAACCAAAGAATACACATTCTATTCATATGAATCTATCCTAAAAAATGTTGCCGGCATTAAATAACCCATTGAGGTTGATATGCCATAAAATAAACCAAACTAAATATACGCTCTATTGCTGATATTGAGCACTTTAACTCATAAATATAACATATCATATTCATACACACACACACACACACAGCCAATCGGCTCTTATAAGAATCTTATCTGCCCACATCTGGAATGATTGAAAAAAAAGCTCCAGCCTAAATATGGCAGCAATGCTCCATTTTTGTTTTGACCTGGCTCTTATGACCTTTAAATATTGTTTTGTCTTTAACTGCATAAAACCTTCTGTAAATGATGTTGCTGTGAAAAGCTATTGACAATCTTTTGCTTATATTGTGGTATTACCGACACATAATAAATAAGGTACTTTTTGAATTGATTTTCTTTAGAGAAAATATATTGAATAAAAAAACAATTCTGTTTTTGATATTCAACAAACAGAGGCCAATATTTGTAACATTTGTTCAACAACAGATGTTGCCATCACCTTGTGATGGCACAGTGGAAGTGCATTAAACTAGTAACCATAATGTGTGAAATTCAAGACCCTATAAAGAAATGTATAAGTACAAAGTTATAATAACAATAATACTGATAACAGTGCAATTAGTTAATGATGATAATGTCATGGCAGTTTTGAAAGACAAATTATGTGTGGCACTCTTGAGGATTAAACACTTGTAAATGAACAACCATTGTACTATGTTAAGTGCCCAAGTAAAAGCTTTATAAATCTAAAAGCTCATCTTGATGACCGTTACTACTGATTAGTGAATTCAATCCTCACTGGGTGTCATATATAAAAATTCACTTGTAAATTCAATCAAACTTTTGTACTCATGAAAAATTTTAAAATATTTTCTTCACTTTGGAATTGAGGTTTTAATTTAGATTTTTAAATTTTAAACTCATTAATGCCCACTGTAAAGTCTCATATTAATTATAAGTTTCTAAAAACATCCAGTGTTAATTATAGGTTTATAAAATATTCAGTATTAATGATAGGTTTATAAAAACCTGATATTAATTAAATGTTTGTTCCTTTAACCTATTAATACCCATCATAAAATGGGCATGTGGCTAAGTGGTTAGAATGTTCACATTCTGACCATAAGACCCAGGTTCAAATCTCACTATGGTCAATTTGTCAGGAAGGAGACTTCCTGACAAATCTCACCATGGTTGATTTGTCAGGAAGGAGACTTCCTGGTGTTATTGAACTTGAGGGATCGATCCCGGTGTCTGGCACCTTTGGGAACGTGCCTGAAAACCATACCATGGATTGACCCAAGCCTTGTGAGTAAATTTAAGTAGATGGAACACTTGGGAGTCGTCGATAGCTGTACTAGCACAAAGTCACATGTCCTCGTGGCCGAGGGCTTGAGCGTACTGGTCTTGTTCAAATTGTTGATCACGCTTGATAACATGCTCTTTCCCAGAAACTGTAACTAAGGTTTGCTCAGTATAGTTGCAGTATAAACCACAGGTGGGATCCGTGGGTGTTGAATAAACACAAATGTGCCTGAGCACATATTTTATTTTTAGCTCATTTTCAGATTGAAATTTTAGTTTTAGCTGTCTTATTTATTATTCATTTATTTACTCTAGGGCCTTTATTTTGTGGCTAACATCCTATTATAATTGGGCTAAAGATTCACTTTACTCCCTGGACCTTGCACCCAGATTACAACCACTTCCATTCCCTGGACAAAACACTTTTGTGGAAAATCCTTTGTAAATGAGACAGACTTGTGGTAGGCACTCACAGACATGTTTTTGTTCAAGACACCAAATTTTTACTGCCATTGTATTGTGCAGCTAGAGGCACATTGGCAAAAGGTTCTGGATACCAATGGGGATTACTTTGATGAGTAACGGTATGCTAAATTTGCTGTATACCTTCTTTTTTTTTCTCCCTAATAAAACAAAAACGACAAGGATTTTTTTTTTTTTTTGGTTACTTTGTATATTGGTTACATAATTATTCCATGTGAGATATAGTAACTTTTTGTAAGATACACTTAATACAAATCCTTTTATGCTATATTTTAATATCATTATTATAATAATCTGCCTTCTCACTATTATTAGTTTGCTGTACAATGGGTCCTGGCTGTGATTAGAACACTCACAAAGTGGACTATGAATG